TTTTGACTGTTCAATGATTTTCTCTATATTCATTTCTATTCCTATTTTTAGAACCTTTTTATATAATATTCTTTTATTTTTTATTTCATTATTAAGAATTAGTTTTTTCTCCCATTTATCACTACGCTGGGCTGGTTGAACTCTATAAGGTTTAAATTCTCTAGAAATTTTTAATAAATGTCCACAAAGTGTTTGTAACATTATCATATAATTATTTTGTTTATAATATTGAAATTGTTGTATGAAATTATTTCCTAATAATATATCACATTCTAATTTATCATATTTATAAATTTTATTTATTGTTATTTGTTTACTTCCAAGAATTATATTAACTTTATCAGCACAATTAATTATTTGAGTACTTTCTCCTGTAACACCAGTTATTTTTATATTACTATCATTATTTCATGATTTTATTAAAAAACTTTTAAATATTGTTATATCACTTACCGTATCTATTAAAGCACAAATTGTTTTATTTGTTTTTACAATATTAATTTGTATATACACAGCTAATGAAAAACTTATCTGATATTTATCTAATTCTTTTTACATAATTTAGTTTGTCCATTATGAACAATATATAATCCTTCTCTTTTTATACTATAATCTTCTAATTCATTTAGAAAACTCATTCCTAAAAGTATATAGGGATTTATATTCATACTTTTGTCTATGTAACATGATAATAAAAGGTCTATTTCTCCTATTTTTATTGGTACTTTAACTTCTAAATTTGTTATATTTACTTGTCCATCAAAATATACATACTTATATGGCTCTGTTTTATGAGTTATTAGGCCTTTATTTCTAATCAAAATTATATGACATTCATCAACTTCTGTATCTATTAATATATTTGGCCAATTTATATTTTCTTTTCCATTATAATATTCTCCTTCTATTTTCATGTTTCCCGCATTCCTATATAATTTTACTTCTTTTATTTTGTTGATTTCTTCTAATTGGTTTTTATTATGTATTTTAAAACTTTTTGATCTTTTAATTAATTTTTCATCTTTAAATGTTATGTTATTAGAACATTCTCCTTCATTTAATTTTGTTATTTCAGGTTTATTTTTTGCTATACTAAATTCATACTCTTCTGAGATTAAACTTATCTGTTTGTTTGGTTCTATTATTTTACTAATATCTTTACATTCTTTATGAACTTCAATGTATGGTTTATTGGAATAAATATTTCCATAATTAGAATTGGTAAATGTGTATAAAACTCTATATTCTATAATCATAATTTGATCACTTGGTTGCATAATATCATCTCCATAAAGTTTGAAATGAAGTACTAAAACTTCATTAAAGTTTCTATCTTTCAATGATACACAATATTTTGGATAACATGTAAACATGATTTTTGATATACTAAATTTCCTTCTCTTGTTCCTAAATGACTATCTTTTAAGTCTATTATTCTTCCATCATGTAAAGTTATAGTTAATGGTGAATTTATCCCTTCTCTAAATAGTGATTTAAACATTATTTATATTCCTGCTAAATAAACATATTGGATTTTTTCACTTTGTTTTTTTACTAATCTTCTTCAATGGTTCATCAACTGTATTTTTTATTAAAAGATTTAATTTATGTTGTCCATAAGCTGTTCTTACATCTATGATTTTTTTTATTTTGTGATATTCATTTATTGCTATTCTTTCTCTTTTCCAAATTCTATCAAAGACTTCCCATTTTCCTATTTTTAAATCTAATGATAATTTTTGCAATTTTCTAAACTTGTTATTATCAAAAGTAACTTTTAATCCATATCCTTTTATTCCTTCATATTCTTGTATATTTATGTTATTACTTTCTATTTCTTCAATTTCTCTATTCAGATCCTGATCCATCATCTTCTGTTTCACTTATATATACTTCTTGATTATAATATTATTCAATATCCGATATTTCACTTAATTCATTTTTATTTCTAAATATTCGTTTTGTAATATTCTAACTTTCTTTTTATCACAATCAGAACTTATATAACATATTTATCCACAATTCCAACATTTACATTGACTTTTATTTTTCTTATAATTCTTATTTTTCTTTTGGTTATATGGTTTTTTTTTATAATATCTTCTTCTAGGTTTTATATATTTTTTTAATTAAAATTTCTAAATTTTTTAAACTTTTTATTTTTATATTTTATTTTATTAATTCTTTTTTCAGAATTACATCCCCATTGCACAGGGATTTTCATATCTTCACAACATATTCTAGGTAATTTTTCTTATTTTTTCATTAATTGTCTTTGTTGACATATATATGCAAGTTTTACAAATAAAAATTTTATTCTTGAATCTAAAGTTCTAGGTATTCCAATATTATCTCCAACATATTTTTTCAAATTCTATTTTAAAATATATTCCACAAGAATCTGGTAATTTATTACAGTACATATCTTGGTATACTTTTTGATTTTCATTACCGTAGAATTGAACATAATAATAGTTTCTAAATTCACAAGTATATTCTTTAATTTTACACATATCACATATTGTTAAAATTTATTAATTTAATCCTAGCACTATCTTTTTCTCTTATCTCCTCTCTTTCAGCATTTTTTATTCAATTTTTTCCTAAAAATTCATTAGAAATATATTCTACTAATTTTTTTATACATTGTCTATCTGATTTTATTATTTCTATCTGTACATTTCTTTTTATTAATATTTTTGTATCATTACTTATTCATTCACACCAATTTCTAACATCTCCTTCAAAGAATGCTATTAAGAATTCTATTCTTCTTTCAGTACTTTTCCATATGTCATCTTTATTATATAAAAAGAATAATATCATCGACTCTGTCCAAGTTAATAAGGTTTTTTTAGTATCTTTTTTACAATTTAAATCTAATTTTGTTCCTCCATGATTAATTGGTTTATCATAATTATCATTTAATCCAAACCTATCTTTATATTTATTTCCTTTAGGTGGTTGTCTAGCTCTCACTTTACTATAGAATTGTCTATATGATTTATTATATATAGGTGCATAACTTTCATCTGTATCATGTAATTCTTGTTTAGAGGTTCCTGCTGGATTATGTACTCCTCCAATATTCATTAAAACTTGGTATTTACTTATATTAGTTAAGCTTAATTGATCAAAATTTTCTATTAATAAATCTAATTCTTCATTCATTTTTATTTTCTTTTTCTTCTATTTTTTATTTTTCAAATGATTTTTCTCTAAATTCTTCTTCTTCTAATATTTTTGGTAATTTATTTTTTCTAAATTCATCATCCATGCTTCCTGTTTTTACTAATATATTTTCTTTTTCTATATATTTCTTTCCTATTCGAGTCATTTCTTTTTCTACAAGTTTTTTTTTAATCTATTTTCTTATCTTTATTCTTATTATTTTCTTTTAATTCTCTAATCTCAATTTTTAATATATTTATATAATTCTTGTTTCTTTTACTTCATTTCTCAAATCTTGTACATCATTTATTAATATTTTTATTAATGATTTTAATTCTTCCATATATTCACTTATTGATATCTTAATATTTTCTTATTTCTAACTCATAAGTTAATTTGCATAATTTATTTTCTTTTTTATCTATTATTTTTCTAAATCTTCACTCAGCTGTTTTTGGATCTATTAATTCTTCTGTTACTATAGTGAAATATTGGCTCTCAAGTCTCAGTCTTTCACATTTTAATTTTGTTAGTTTTCTATTTTTTGATATTCTCATTCCTTCTGGTACTAACATTATATTTCTTATTTCTTCTTGTATTTTATCCATTTTTAAAAGTAATTTATTCTATTTTTGATGTGTATTATCAATTATACTCATATTTTTCTTTATAATATAAATTATTTTTTTTTATCTTTATATATATTAATAATTTTTTCATATGTATAAATATTTTTTATTTTTTCTATTATTAATTTTTTTAATATTTGTTCCTTTATTTCTTTAGGAAGTTCTTTAATTATTATCAAAGTCATTGTTTGTAATTTATTATGAATAGATTTTAAAAATATATAACTACATTTTTCTTTTTCTAAACACCAATAATTATTTTTCTTATTTTAATTTCCATGATCTCTCTGACTCTGATACCAATTAGGCGGCTACTTAGAGCAAACAAAAATCAATTAAATCAAATAAAAATATTAATAAAAAAAAACCAAATAAATATTATCAAATTTCAACCAACATTTATTTTTGAGGACTAAAATAAAAAATTTCTATATTATGATGCCTTGTTATGCAATATCTAAATGGAGGGCATTTTTGGTATGTAAATTGCCTAAGGGTTATTTTGAAAAGTAACCTTTTTGAAAAGGTTATTTCCATATATTTCCCATTTATTTTGGGTATTGTAGAGTGTGTAGTATGTGATTCCTGTTCCCTGATTAGAGTTGGCAGCAAATATGAGGAGGTGGTTTGGTGGAGTTGGAAGAAAGAACGGGGATACAAGATTTGTCGAGTAATTTTAGAAATGACGTCATATTTAAGTGTTCATTCCAGTTTCCCCAACAAATGGTTAAAAAAAGCAAGGATCTATTCGGTTGTAAGCATTGACTTTGTATGGAAAGAAAATAAGCATTTTCTCTTGTTTTTATTATTTCCAAAACATATTCTACTCTTTTATTTTTAATCATACATTTTTTAATAAAAAAAATTACATACAAATTTAAAAATTTTTCTTATTTTTTAATTACATAATTTCGACCAAAATATTATTCCAAAATATATTTTGAATCAAAAGGGGCTTAAACAAGTTCTACGAGTGAGTTTAATTGTCAATATTTTCATGAAAAATATCATTTTCACCCAAATTCTTGTTTTTGTATTGTTTAATTGATATTTTCCCATGAAATTTTTTTTAATGTTGTTGGTCACGTCACTATATTTTTCTTGAAAATAAAGAATTTCATTTATTTATTTATTTTATTTATTTTATTTTTAGGGAAGTAGATTATTATTTTACATCTAGGTTTGTAATTCGAGCAAGACTTACTTCCCGTGCCTTTGCACAAAGGGCGAGTTCTTTGCATCCTCCTCTGAGAACAAAATTCATCACAAAAATGAATCAAAATAGAAAAATAGAAGAAAATAATTACAAAAATTCATTAAGGGGGTGTTTGATTAACATTTTTATGTAAAAATGCATTTTAGAATAGTAAATTGATGTGAAATGTACGGTTGAAAAATAAGAAAAAGTTTTTAATTTACATGTAATATTATTTTAATAAAGAATGTGTGATTAAAAAGAAGATTGTGAAAAATGTATTTTGAAGAAAATGACTACCAAATGAGCTCCAAATAAAAAAGAAAAATTAGGGTACGGGCCAGTGAGGCTGCGGGAGAACTTGGTTATGATGGTTCCAGTAATAGCGAAGCCAACAAGGAATGGCCAGTTGCGGTTGTACTCTCTCCTGAAGAACACTGGCCATGGATCGAATTTTCTCATTTTCGGCGTTCGTTTTCCGATCTGCCCCCACTCCAGTGAATCAATGCAGGGAAATAGTAGAAACGGGCAAGAGTGAATTCTTCTTCTTCAAATATGTCGGAGCCAATTTAAATGCGCTCATGGCCCAAAAAAGTGGGCTTACACTTACAGGCCCCTACTTCTTCGTGTCCGTAACATAATTCGTCCTAATTTTCAAATCATTTTAACACGACTTTGAGAAATCAAAACAGACTTTTGAGATTCAAAAGTTAATTTTTGAATTTATTTGATTAATTTTATAAAAGTAACTTTTTAGTTAGAAGATCTTTTAAATTAAGCTGAATAATAGGCGTGGGCGTGAGTCGATTCGATTCAATTTTAAAGAGAATCGAACCGAACCGAACCAAAAATTTTGGGTATTTAGTAAATAAAACTATCGGGTCCAAATGTAATTATGAAATCGTTCGGGTTCGGTTCCATTCGGTTCCGTTTGGTTCAGATCGGTTCGATTCCGTTCGGTTCTATACTATAATTAAATTTTTTAATATTTGTAACAACACTACATAGATACAACTAATAAAACATTCAATCGTAATTTTATAAATTAACGTAATCCAATTTAACATGTATATAACAAGTTGTCCAACAAGATTAATTTACCAATCACATGTAGAAACGCTTACATACTACTTTATTCAAATGATCAACGGTCGAAGGTCGCCATCGGAGCCCGGAGGTCATAGCTTCGGACTCGGAGTCGGAGGTTCTATACATCTATTTGAGTTTTGGAATATCAGATATGTTATGTGTAGGTGATAATGTGTGTAATTTATTTAGGGTTAGTCATTAGCGGGTTGGATCACTTCGATGATGGGCTAAAAAATGGAAGAATAAAAACTAAAAATGGCACTTGGGCTAAAAATTAGAAATGAAACAAATAATTGGGCCAAAAAATTGGATTTAGAAATTGGTTGGGTTATGCCTAGCAGATAAAGTACCAATTAATTACCTAATTTGTTAATTTGTTTAGAAAAAATTAAAATAATTTGATTTATTTAATAGAAAAAAATAAAAATTAGGAATATTCGATTCTTATTCGATTATTCGATTCTTGGTCTAGAATCGAGAACTGATCCGTCCCCGTCGATTTTTAATTCAAATACTCGTTCGGGTATTTAAATTGAGAAGAACCGTCGGGTTCGGTTTGAATTTGGGAGATTTGCCCAACTCTACTGAATAAGGCGGTTTTCTCTAAAAGTTAGAATTATTTTGAAAATTAATTTTTAAACACCTTCTTTAGAAAGCTTTTCTACAACTTTTTGTAGAAAGATCTTTTTGAGGAAACTACCTTAAATCAACTTCTTTAAAAAGCTCCTCATTTGGCAAAACATGTTTCAAAAATTATTCAAACAAGTTTAAAAATAGTTTCTTAATTTCAGAAGTTCAAAAATCGTGTCAAACAAGCCTTTGTTAGCAATATTTAAACCAGTCATTTAATTATCCTCATTTATCAAATCTTTGTGTCCAAGTATGGAGAAAAAATAATGCCACTAAAGCTTTGCATAAACTTGAGAACGAGAGGTAGAGACTGATATTTTATAAAGGCAAAATATTGATTAATTAATTCATTGTTTGGTAAATATTCACAACTCCAACATTCATTCAAATTATTCGATTTCGTAAGAATGTCATTCAAGATCAAGGATAACCAGTTAAAAAAGATAAAAGAGATTTTTCTTCTCCAAATATCTCTCTTCCGGCCTATGTTATAAGTTAGTTTGAGATCGAAACTGGACCTGATAAAGTTTTGAATGACTACTATATTCAAGTAGTTGTATGCGAGAAAGCTATTCAATCATAGTTGATTTAAGGCGATGAAGTCAGAAATATAATAAACGATATATTTGCCAATTTATACCAAGTAATGCAATAATCAACCCCATACCTCATGTTCCGTTGAAGTTAAGCCCTGTTCGGTTTACATTAAAATCAGATTTTGATGAAAAATACAAATTGATAAAAAGTAATGAATTCCATAAAATATTTGGTAGAAAATGAGAACAAACCAGAGGATAAGTTTATTCCCTCTATAACTCAGTTCCTATTCCTCTGTAACTGAAATTGAATTTACCCATATGAAACCTTATTGGTGGCAATTCCAGATTGCAAAATATTAACCAAAAAAGAACTCAGATGTATCATAAACATCAAAAATTCAAGTTTCAAAAAGAGGACATGTTTGCCCGTCTATACACGAAAATAATAACCACAAATGATGGAAACACCAAAAAAATATATTTTTAGTAAACGAAAGGGCAAAAAGGAAGGTATAGTGCCAAATAAAAGCATCTCTTAGAAGTCCAGGATGAATGAAAATTTCCATGCTAAACCAGTATACTTCACTTCCTCGGGACTCCAATCCTCTTGCGGAAATCATCCTCCATGAGGGGAAGGCCATCGCGCAACTTGACCTTTGGTTCCCAGCCAAGTAACTCCTTTGCCTTGGTTATATCAGGTTTTCTCTGGCGAGGATCGTCTGGAGTATTCTCCACAGTAATGATTTTCACTTTTGGGTTGATCATCTGCATGGACAACCATTTTGTTCCATATGATACTTAACAAAGAACCAGAGATAGGAAAATAAATTTTTCTAACTGTGCACATGTTTGGAAATTACCTCCTTCACAGTCTCAGCAAGCTCAAGCATTGTAAATTCACCTGTTAGTAAAACCATGAGCCAGTTATCCTAACAACATTATTTGTTTCCAAACCTAAGCTTTATTCTTAGGGAGAGAGAATGAATTTGATTTTAGCCTTTTAGAACCATATTTATTAATAATAACCTGGATTCCCAATGTTAATTGGCCCAGTATGATCTCCTTCCATTAGTCGAATTAGACCATCAACCTTCACATGCAAAAGAAATTAGAGCAAGGCCACCAAAGACAGACCAAAATAATATGATGATCTATTGTACCATGTCAGAGACGTAACAAAAGCTTCTTGTTTGTGTTCCAGGCAACTGGACAGTCAAAGGCTCGTCACTGCATACATTTGGAAAAAGGCTATAGCGTGAGAATTGAGCAGGTGAAATCTCGTTTTACTTGGTCACAAATTGCAATGTACTCAGAAGTGGGCTTTGACGCTGGAGATAATAAAGGGCTAGCAATTGAGATCAAAGGTATGCAGAAAATAATAGCATGACAATAAAATATTACCGAATTGCTTGGGCTATAAAATTGCTGACAACTCGACCATCGTCAATATTCATGCGGGGTCCGTAAGTGTTGAAGATCCTTGCAATACGTATTTCTGTTGTGGTGTCATTTCAAATTGTAAGAAGTGCATCATATGATTTCACTATTCTTGACAGAATTGCAGAATTGGATGTCAAAAACCAATAACAAACATATGATTTGTAGCAAAAGAAAGGGAATGTTACCAATTCCATGCTGCCTATGATAATCAAACATCAAAGTTTCAGCGACTCTTTTTCCCTCATCATAACAACTCCGTACTCCTGCAATGCAAAGAAAATGCTATCATTACTTCATTAGTATGCTTCTGATCTGTTGCTTCAAACAACACATCACACATTTAGTAACAAAATGATGCATTTGATTTGCATAAAACAGATAATTTTAAGTATGGTGAAGTTAACAAGGTTAACAAACCATTGCCAACATTTAAACCAAGGAAATGAACATAAAATTCAAGGGTATCAATTCTGGTGGTAATAATAGTAGTAATGCTGGCTTTAAAGAGTTTCAATTGAGATGTAACCAATGTGGAGTATTAGGAATCCACATACAGGGAGCTAAGGGAGTCAAAAACATTACTTAACTCAACTTGTAATCAGAGTATATATAAAAAAGACAATTGACAAGTATTGATAGAATGCCAGTTTATTACTTTCTCCACATGATACGAGATCGAAGTGGAAATATTATCCAAACCCATTAATCCCCAACTTATCATCATTCCATGCTCAAGCCATCCCAAAGTTGAAAATTGAAAACAAAGAAACAAAAACTGCAAAATTTTGATAAAATAATATGGCTCATAATTTTGAACCACTGATAAATGTTTGACTTTGAAGGGAGGTAGAGTACACATTTTCCAACTATTTAAGCAACTCTAGATTTCCATTTTATTCTTTTAGTTAGAGGATTTTCAGTCGAGATGAGTTGTGGTTGAGGGATTGATGCAGATGAATTTTTCCTTTTCTTTTTTTAATATTAAAAAACTCAAAACAAAGTTTTATGGAGTTTTAAAATTTAGCAAGAGTTATACATGAAAAATAGATTTCAGTGAAACACAAAAAAGATCAAGGTGAATTTGTGAGATAACTTGGAAAAGGGTGCACCCAACCAATTTATTACTGAGCTCAGTTAGACCTATTTCCTAATTGGTTGGGTTTTCCTTTTATCACATAGAATATTCAGCTACCTATAGGGTTGACATTGCCCCAATAGGTTTCGTCCTGAGGATGCACAAGAGGATCTCCATAAACCTCAGATGTCGATGTCAGCAAAATCCTGTTAAGAAAGTACAGAAAGTCAAACGCCATATTTTTAAGAAATATAATAAATAATAATAAGAAGTAAGAGCAAGTTGATCCAAACCTCGCTCCCACTCGCTTGGCAAGGCCCAACATGTTGAGAGTACCAATCACATTTGTCTTTATTGTCTGTTGATAGAAAGAAAAAATAATAAAAAATAAATTCATAACTTCCATTGTTATAATTCACTAGAAATTGTAATATTCTAAGAGTATTTACAGCATAACAACGGAAACGAGCAAGCAACTAAACTAGTGAATGAGGATGAAAGAGATGTATGCATAGATATCTTTCACATGTCTGACCTTCACAGGGTTGTATTTGTAAAAGATGGGGGAAGCAGGACATGCAAGATGGTATATCTTATCAACTTCAATCAACAATGGCTCTGTGATATCTGCACAAGAAAAAATTGGAAATATACAAAGTGGAAAAGAAAGTGATTCAAGCAACAGAGGGAGAGAATGGTATTGAGGAAAGTCAAGACAATATCTACTTGGACACTGCAATGGAAGTGTGTTGCATCAAGAGAAGTCAGTAAACATCCTTATCATGGACACTTTATTTTGTCTCAACTTTGAAATATCAACCTACATATAGGTAATTAGACAAACTTCAAAGAGTAATTACCATGACGTCTAAGCTCAAATCTCGGATGACCAATCCACTGAGACAAATTGTCCTTTGAGCCGGTAAAATAGTTATCAACAACAATCACCTGAGTGATATAGAACAAACTCGTGAACATATGCATATTGAAGTGTGTCCTACACTAAATGTTCACCGTTGCATGTAAAAACTGAATAGAAGAACAAGTAGTACTCACCTCATTCTTCTCATTTTGCATCAGTTTATCCACTAAGTGAGAGCCAATGAATCCAGCGCCACCAGTAACCAGGATTCTCATGTTAGCCTGTCGTTAAGGTGTACCATTTAATGTATTGTAGTGACAAAAACAAATATAACGGGAAAACATTCATAAGCCTGGATAAGAAGAGAATAACGAATCAAATGGAACCATTTTGTGAAATTATTATATGCCCAGAGATGAAGAAAGTTCAACTTCCCCAGTCCTGGTAATAAATTGAAGCCTCCTAAAGTATAAATGAAAATGGAAAGGAAAATGTATTTAAGATACCTAAAGATAAAGAGTGCAATTAAGAAAAGAACAGAAAAAAAATATCCCTTCCATAAACCTGAAAAGTACCGATCTTCAAATAAATCTCAGAGTACCACAGGAGAATCTCTCTCCATCTCCCAGCACACAATCATTCATGAATTACAAGCTTCAAACCAACTCCATCCTCACTTAACCACAGGAAATGAATCTCAAATGACAAAATGAAACCAAACCCTTCAAAGAATTCTCGAAAACTAATCATCTATTGATTTGCAGAGAATAACGAATCAAATAAAACCATTTTGTGAAATTATTATATGCCCAGAGATGAAGAAAGTTCAACTTCCCCAGTCCTGGTAATAAATTGAAGCCTCCTAAAGTATAAATGAAAATGGAAAGGAAAATGTATTTAAGATACCTAAAGATAAAGAGTGCAATTAAGAAAAGAACAGAAAAAAAATATCCCTTCCATAAACCTGAAAAGTACCGATCTTCAAATAAATCTCAGAGTACCACAGGAGAATCTCTCTCCATCTCCCAGCACACAATCATTCATGAATTACAAGCTTCAAACCAACTCCATCCTCACTTAACCACAGGAAATGAATCTCAAATGACAAAATGAAACCAAACCCTTCAAAGAATTCTCGAAAACTAATCATCTATTGATTTGCAAACATTATGAGCATCCAAAACATCAGCAACACAGTTGGAATTACACAAAACAATTTCAGCTTCTATGTATACTCCCACCCACAAGATTTATAAGTGCAGCCATCTTTTTAATTTTTAATTTTTTTTTTTTTGAGATCCACTTAGCGCAAGTTGAAGTACCCATGCCAAAACGAAAAAGTTGAATTGCATAGAAACGTAAAAGTTTACAATGCAAAGTTAATAAGATAGATTGGAAAAAAGGGATTCTTTTATGTTATTTAGCACCATCAATAAATACCTGAAAAAATTTTGCTTTTCGCAATGGCGATGGCTCTGGAGGTGGTTTTGTATTTACATGGTTCTCTCCATTAGATGCTTCCTTTGCCATTTCTCAGATCCTTTCTTCAAATTCTGAAAAAGAAAACCAAAAAAATCTAAATAACCATCAGTTACAATAATAATAATAATAATAACTCACAAAGCCACAGCACATTAACTTCTCTCCAGGTCAAAATACCAAAATTTAATGCATAACTAGTACAATACTTTTTCCTTAGTAAATTGAACAAGAATAGCCAACTCAAACCTTCTACAAATGCAATACTGACAAGTTGGTTGATTTGGAAAACAACCAAAAACAGAAAACAAATCTCTCTTACTATTGAAACCAAAAAACAAAATCATATCTTTTTTGTAAATTAGAAGCACAATCACGCTCTGATATACTTGAAAATTACGAACATTTCCATTATAATTCAACAATGCTAATCCAACTTAACGCATTGATCTAAAATAAAGAAAACAATAAAAAAAAAAAAAAAATCCCTTGATATAAGCGCAAATTATGAACGCAGAAAGCAAAATAATACAACTCGAAACATATTTCAGAAAATAAAAATGAAGCTCTGATCACCTATATAATCAGTGAGACACTTCGCCTACTTTGATGAAAAAATTGGAAAGACTTGACCTTATATATACAACTCGAAATCCAATTTTTGCCTCTAAAGTTCCCAAAAAAAAAAAAAAGAGCGAAATACTCAACGAACGAAATACGACAAGCATGCACGCACTATGACCTATGTCACACCAAACACTACCAAGAGAGCTAAGAATCTTCAAAATCACGCAAAGGGTTACTTCGTCTGTGATCAATAATGCGTCGGTTTAACGAAAGGTGCAGCAGACCCAAAATCAGATCTGAATCTAAGTCAAAAACAAAAACATTATAATATAGCATCTAATTACATCGTACCTAAAATCGAGATTTTCAAATAATCACCGAACCGAATCAGATAATTCCACGAGAAGTTTGTAAAAGAAAAAAATAGTTCAAAATTATATATATACCCACGGCAACTCATCTTTGTTACGGAAGTAGTCATTGAAAGGGATACGATTATAAAAGAGACGTGCAACAGTTTAATTTATACGGTTCTTGCTTTTTCCAATAGGAAAGCGACACGTTCACGATTTTACTCCTCGTGCCAGGTGGACTCATTTGATTGGCCATGTGGTGAAGAGCAGGTACGACTAGCCGCAGTAGATTTGTTCTACATGATAGCGTGCAGTTTTGGTCTATCTGCCACGTAGATTTTAGTCACGTTTCTATTGCAGGTCAAATTCTAATCTGTCACGTTATATGTGTTTTGTTAAATTCGTTGAGTCAGATACACATAATACCCAAATTAGTTTCATTAATGATCATTGAAGTTCAAGTAATATTTCAAATTGATAATTAAAGTATTTTTCTGATCTATTTAGTCCCTAAATTAAATATTATTATATAATTGATCACTTCGTTAGCTTGATCCCTGTTTGGCCCCCATTAATTTCCATTTCATTACATTTCATTTTTTTCTCTCATATTTTAAATCATACAATTTTCCATAACATAATATTACATGTAAATCGAAATTTTTTCCTTCTTTTTCAATCAATCATTTTTCAAAAAATCATTATTCTACTCATTTTTATTTCTAGAAAATGGGGTCCAAACGGGGGCTAATACCCTATTCTATGCAGTAACAATTAAACCTTCATGTTGACTAACAACCATTAGAGGCATCGATTTCTTCCCGCTACCTATTTTTATAGCTTTGTCACAATCATTTTACTGTTTATAAACGATGAAAATAGGGGTACGGTTATAAATGAGTGATTTGAGGTTTTTGGCTTTCTTCTAAGAATTGAGTGTATTTTGAAGGTATACAATTTCACAATATCTATCAACGATTGTTTGTCGATGTTGAAGTTTGGTACTCTGACATAAGGTCCTTGTTTGAGCCCTATTCTCGTTAAAAAAATAATAATAAAAAAAATCATTTTTAAATAGTATATTGATGAAAAATGTGTGGTTAAAAAAAAGATATAAGTCTGCGTGTAATATTATTTTATTAAAGAATGCGTGGTTGAAGTGAAGTCAAACCGCTATAGAAGTATGTATTTTGATGAAAAAATAGAGCTCAAATAAGGACAAAATCTAAAGTTTATGCCTGTTGAAAAGTGGTTATATGACTTTTACCGACTGAATGGATTATATAAATACTTCATGGTCAATCTGAAATTTCACATATTGGCTTGATAAAAAAAATTAGAATTGTATTAGGGGCCTGTTTAATAGTGATTTTGAGAATTGATTTTTTTATCGTTATAAGAAAAGTGGGAGCCACCCATGAGAGAAGAAGTCAAAAATTACGGCTGGAATAATGAAATAACGGTCAAAAAATCAATTTTTTGGGGTGAAAATCATTTTCAAACAGGGCCTAGATTTTTATAAGTTGGTGAAATGTGTAGCTGAAAAGTTAATAAATTGTGAGTTTCATAAAATATGTGATTTGAATTAAAATTAATTTTAAGGAAGGAGGACGTAGGATAAGAAACTTGGGCTACCATTTGTATTTTGGAGTTCATAATACAAATATGTAAATGTGGTCCATTGATAATTGATTTACTTTTCAACGAATGGGACTAACTCCACCTTTTACACAACACTAGTGATGAAAATGTGCGTTGCACGTTGATTTGGTGAATGTTAAATATAAGTGTATGACAGCTGTGAATGGACATACACGACAATTGTTAAAAAAGTAGCGAATCTAACAACAGTCAATTTCCTTCGAACTTGCCATAGAAATATTAGAAATACAATTAAATGGGTAAAAATTTAACCTTGGAATTATGTAAAAAAGGGGCTCTCAAATATAAATTCCCCGTAGAAAGATAGTGAATTGATGGATCCAATTGCAACATCTACTAAAATATACTCTTAATGTGTAGAATAATTATAACACTCACCAAACGAATGTCATGGCCTAACGAATGTGCAGTAACTCGAAATAAATAGTGTGGTAGATCGATTTCATACAACATAATATTTTCACTGCAACAGTAAACGTCTTTATTAAACTTAGAAGCAATTGGAAATTAAATTTTTTTCCATACTAATCATTGTCTAAAAATGGAAAATCGCATTGTAAAGTAATGTAGTTCGAAAGAATAAAACTCAAATGGCTTAACTGATAGTCTCATTTAAAATGCAAAAAGTCGATGAAAAAAATACAATTAATGATTAGTTTTTTTAATAAGTGGATGGAAAGTAAAGCAAATTAATTAAGAGCATTAAGCATAAGGAACACTATAGGAGACACCAAATTTGAACTCAAAATTGTAAGAATGATGGATGAGCAATAACCAAATCTTCTTGAGCCTAATCACTTTTTTTGCCTTCTCATTTTCATACCAGTCATTTGAACCCCATGAAATTCTAATACTGTACTTATGTATGATCTCTGTAATACAAATAGTAAAGCACCTTATCCTCTAGCATCAGGAAAAATGAAAAAAAGGAGAGAGATGACAACATATGATGTTTTGTATCATCAATTGCCAGTAGCGCAATAACCTCCTCTAATATATTGAATATCATTAGGGAACCTACAAAAGCGTATTAAAATCAAATAACAGCAAGCAATTTCAAATTTATTATAATACATAATGAACTTTAAGAATGATTTTAAGCAACCTTAAAAATAAAAAGATAAAACAGCAACACTTTTCTACATTGAAATTGTGCAATCTATCTCTATCCAAATATGTCAGTAGAACTCTAGGAAGCCAAAACCAAAATTCTCCCTCTTTGATTTTCAACATATGCATACCCAAGTGAATGACTATAAAACTTTTGTTAGATTAATTACACCAAGTTGCATAAGCTTTAGGGAAAAGAGAAGCAACATAAAATGGCCAACTATTACATTGCAATGATTTCTTATAAAACTCAAATTTCAAATCATTGTTAGTGAAATTGCTTTTTTTAAGAAGAATGTTGAAACTTATAATGGACATACTGTACAGGTAGCTACCATCAAATCAAATTTTGAAACCTATATTATGAAATGAACAATTTTACCATAAGACGAAATGCTTCAAATTTGATCTCTTGTGTAATGTTATCTAAAAGATGCACTCCCTTGATGGGCAATTCATGATTACAATCTTGGTTGTCAAAGTGTCTAGCTTAGGATTAACTTGTGAGTGCTCTTTGCAATCATTTCCTTTGAAACCTTAGTTGACATTGTCAACTCAATATTTTTAACCAACCCTACATCATTTCTAGCATGAAAATGCTCTGAAAGAGCATGTATTTGAGAATATAGAGATGTGGTAGCTAAAAATTAAGTCAGAAATTTGTTAGACATATAACTGAATGTATTATACTTGACCTAAAATGTGGATATCCCAATTTTCATAACTGCAGAGAAATACTAAAATAATAAAAAATTCAAATACAAATTCTTATGCTATCCAAAAATTGATACAAATAATAAAGAACAAATTCTATACACATGACAAAAAAAAATTTAATAATAATAATAATAACAATAAACAAAAATCAGCAAAATGCAAAAAATTGTCCTTACTAGATTGCCTTGAGCAGGAACAACGGTCTACTTATAAATACAAAAGCCTGCAAATGGAAGAATTTTATATTAAAAAAGGTACACAATGTAAAAAAAAAAAAAAAAAAAAAAAGTGGATACTTTGGAAATTAGAAAAAAATTGTAGATCATTTACACGGTTAAAATAGATGCAACTTGTGAAGTTGTTTCAAGAAAAAAGTGGTGTTTGTGAGGTAGGAATTGTAGGAGCACTTGTCGTTTGCTTTTGGTTGAGGAAGAGATTAAAAGGAGAGAAAATGACAAAGAAAAAATGGAGTTTGTTTGAAAAATGAAGGGGACCATTAAAATCTTTATAAATTAATTAAATGTTAGAAACCTATAAATTAATGAAGGGACCATTAAAACCTTAGAAAAAATGGGGTTTTTTTGCTTGGTGATTAATTAATGTTAGAAATAAATGTGTGTAAATTTTCCACAAATTCATTTGTAAATTGTGAAAGACATTTCGAAATTGATTTAAAAAAAAAAAAAAAGAATGTCTATAAAGAATACATTTCAACTTTTGTTAGTGAGTCATTCATCTACATTAATGAAATATTGTAATTAGACAATATTTTGTATGAATATGAAACTTGATAATATATTTTTTTATGTCATACATGAATTATTAGACAATATTTTATATGATCTAAACGACTTAAATCTATCATCTGGAGTATTTGGATACTATCTATATTAAAAAAATATTATAATAATAAGAGCCACTACTAAAAAATAAAAATACAAAAGAAAAAAGAATTTTTTTAAAAAAAAAAAGTGAGGGGACTCACACGGAGCTGCTTTCGTCTAATTTCCTTTTTCCTTCTTCTTCTTTTACGTGTTTAAAAAATGTTTTGAAGCGTGAATTTTCTTGTCTTTCTTATTGATATTGACATAATTAAATGCTTCAAGAGAAGACAATTATTCATGAAATTGAGTTCAAAATCTGGAAACGATTCTTGAAATGTTTTGACAAATTCCACAACTATATTTTTGGTTTGTGTACGCACGAAACAAATATGCTCTATGAGTACATGGAGCACAGCTCCGTGTGTGCACAGAGTAAATATTGCTCCATGCATGAACAGAGCATATTTACTCTGTGCATGCCCAGAGCTAAAGATTTTTTAATTTTTTTTTTGCCTAAAAAATGTTGTTATTATTATTATTATTATTATTATTATTATTATTATTTTGCTTTTTTGTTAAAAAAATTGTTTTTATTCTCCCAGTCAGGTTTTCAACTATTTAAAAAAATTCCACCATCCTAAAACACAAATGAAAAATGAAATATACAAAAAAAAGAAAGAAAGAGATTTTAAAATTTAAAATGAAGTCGGATAAGAGCACAAACATGTTATCGGACTAATTACTCCAATGTTCCCATCAGCTCATTCACCATCATCTGGAAGTTATTTTTGAACAAAATTAATACTATGCTCATATAAATATAGTAATCAAATGAAAACTTAACAAAAATGAAGATTAATTCAAAAGAACAAAAAATCAAAAAAACATACTTACATACAAATGAACTCAGAAAAAAGAAATGACGAAACTTAAGAATTGAAAAGAAGAATGGGTTGTATGAGTTCAAGATTACACCCATTTCGTAAAATCATTACCTTGAAGTAGGAAAATGAGGTGGCTAAAATTCTGATGAATGTCCAGAGAAAGTTTATAATTAGGGTAGAGAATGAGAGAAAAACTCCAATTCATGAATCAGTGTAGCACCGTGCAGATGTATTCTTGCGTGAAATGGGTAATTGTGTTGGAGAAATGGAGGAGCAATAAACAGGTATGACGATAATGTAAAAAAATGAAGAATGAAAGAGGCATGGTCGATAGCATGGAAAGTGGAGAAAAAAAAAAAGGGAGAGGGGAAAAAAAGAAAAAGGGGAAAAAAGAAAAAAAAAAAAAAAAAAAAAAAAAAAGAAAAAAAAAAGATGGAGGACGATGTGAAATTGCGACATGTGTCCATCAAAGTTTCGCTCTTTTATATATGTAGGATATTTGGAAGATAATTTGATACAAATAGTGTTACATAGTTTTAGTCTTTTAGAAATTGAATTATCGATAACTTTTGCTCATAAAAAGCGAGTGTAAAGAAAAATAAAATTCATGTTTTAAACTCTTTGAAAAATAAGGTAGGAATTTGTAGTAAGGACACGTTTTTACTAAAGACTAATCATTTGCAAACATTGAATCGTATGTATTAATTTATTTTTCAATGTAAAGTCACATTCATATCTTTAACATTTTATTAACTTGCAAATTAATCTGTACTCATAATTTTCATCCAAAATATCTAGTCTTGATTTCCTGGTTTTTTTTTTTTTTTTTTTTTTTTTTTTTTTTTTAAATACGATAGATAAAAAACTCTTTTTGCTTCATCTTAATGAAATTTTTTAACAGAAACCATCTTGTGTTTATTTAAAAATAAGAATAAGAAGGAAAAAAAAATAAAAAATCAAGAACACAGCTGTGCTTTCTCATAAATATTAAAATTATTGAATAACACGACCAACTTCCTGCCTTCATATTATTATTATTATTATTATTTATTTATTTATTTATTTATTTATTTATTATTATTATTTTTAAAGCATATGGAGTGGAAAAGTTTTTCATCAGTAATGGGAACTCCTACGTAGATAGGATTCACAGTGGAGAATTTGGTACAGGGAAGGATTTAATATCTGGAGTTTTGTATATCTGAAATGGTCATGCAAGAAAATAAATTTCATATTCAGCTGTTTGGGAAGATCCCATAGTGATTAACTCAAACACAACAATATATATTCTTCTTAATAACGCTTCACATGTATTTAAAACAACGTGACACACATAATTTTATACATTTATGTTTAGAATGAATCTATGTGAAGATTGATTCCATAATACAACACAAGAAATTTATTAAGCTAACTGAGAATCTCGAGTTGAAGTATATTGTCCCATTACTCTTGCCCACTATATTTTTGACACCTCGAAATATCGAGCTTCTAATAGCAAATGTGAAGATGTCATACGACTTATTTGAAATGTATTCTGTTGGCATCTCCCGAGCTGATATTTCGGTGTGTCAAAAATTTAGTGCGCGGACAACATATCTTTAACTCCAGGATCTCGACTGAGAATCAAGAAAAATCAATATCTTCAATTCTAAGAAAGCTCAAGCGTTCATCATTGATCCACCCATACTTCTCTGTGAAAGGATTGGTTAGGGTTTTTGGTGGGTATTTGTCCATGCAGTCTTTCCACACATTAGCATCCTCCAAGTCCCTCATAACCTGCCACACACAATTGTTGCACTTAAATCCAGCACCAAAACTTATCATGAAAACTCTATCACCCTTCTTGAGTCTCTTTTTGGCCTCCATGTAGCCTAAAACATACCAAAGGCCACCGGCTGACGTGTTGCCGAAGCGGTGAAGTGTCATTCGAGCTGGTTCGAGATCGTATTCGGTAAGACCTAGACTCTTGCCAACTCCATCAATGACTGCCCTACCACCAGGGTGTATACAGAAGTGATCTACACCTGACTTCAGATTCAAACCTTCGCCAACTCCTTCAAGAATTGGGCTATTTTCTTTACTCCATCGGTGATATACCACGGCATACTGGATTAATTCCCATAGAGGTAGAATTTTTGGTAATAGAACTCTTAGGTTTATGATGAAAGCTTGAGCAGCAGCCTTGGTGAGTTTCTTGGTTAGACGAAAACCCGGGTAGCCTTGGTCGTCTTCGACTTGGATGCAACACTCATATGCCTCATCATTCGAGCCAAAATGAGTACGTACCAAAGACGTTAACTTGAAGAGGGCTCGATGTTTAAAATCGGGGTTGTTTGTGAAAAGCATTGAACAACCACCGGATCGAAATAGGCAATTGGACAGCATCATTGACTTGTCTTTGCCACAGTACCAGTTCGCACCAAAGGATTCAGTACTAACAACAATGGCAAATGCTTTCTTGTGAATCTTAAACTGTTGACGAACAAGATCAATGGCAATAAGGCTAGCGCTGCACCCCATTCCGGACAGATTAAAAGCCTTAATGTCAGACTTCATTTTGTACCGGTTTATGATTCGAGCTGTTAAAGAAGGAACTGGAGAAAGTAACGAGACATTCACCACAAGAATGTCAATTTCTTGTGGAGAAATCCCTGATTTAGCAAATAGATTGTCAAGTGTATCGAAAAAGACATCATCCATTTCCTCAAGGGAATCGATCAAACTGGGATTCTCCTCTCTACCCATAATGACATTTTTGGGACAATAAGTTTCTTCACCAATACCTGAACTGACCATGGTTTTTAAAAGAAACTTGTATTCATCCCAACCAAGATTCTTGTTTCTCAAAACGATTCTACAAGAGGATTCAGTGTCTACCTTTCTGTCATTGGTGGCCTTATAGCATTCATAATTTAGCATGTAGCAGCAATTATTTTTCTGCCCCAAGAATCTTTTGCAAAGTCGAATGAAAACATAAAAGAGAAAAACAATGTAGATTGCAATGAACAACTCCATATTCAAAAAAGAAAGAGAGGTGTGAGTTCTGTTGAGTAGCTTGCAACTACCAAGAATTTATAGACAAATTTTTTAATAAAAATATTACATAAATATTAAATAGGAGCTCACAAGTTGGCGCTCACGAAAAAAAAAAAAAAACTTTTCCACATCGACAATATGGAGATTATTTTCAAACACAGAATAATTTTATCGACCTTAATCCTACTTAGTCCACTTGTGGGGATCATCCTCTCAAACATTTAATACCAATCAACCACTACCAGTCTACCACTACCAAGAAAACATATTTTCAAGCAACTACTCAAATGAATTCAGCTAACATCATTTTCTTTGTCAAATCGTTTTCTCTACAAACAGAAAAATTGATATTCCTCTACATGTCCTTGTTTTTGCCCGAAGTGAATTGGGAAAAATGTTATATACCTCGTTCTTCATATCCAAGGCATCTACACAAGTACTGACAGCATACCCACCTGTTAATATCAACTCAGATGGTCAGAGACAGGTTGTTTGGAGCACAATTTTTCTCTTTATTTCGATATTAATATCCAATTACTTCTTCACCTACCTAATGGACCTGGAGCTACGAGCTATCTTGTGTCAAAAATATTGATTACTGTATCCTGGGGCCACTTAAAGATTTGGATCAAAGACAGGACACTAAAGCGGGTAGACACGCAATGAAACCACATTAAAGTCAGGGAAAGTTATTGGCTGTCGGCTGATAGTTGTAGTTGTTTTGGATATTTGGTGGGGTTGGATAGAGTGGAAAAGATGAAGATTTCATTTTAGCTTGTTAACTATAGAGAAGGGTAAAATTTTCTCATAGGGGACCCTAAGTACTACTGAAACGAAAGATTGAGGATGTAAATGCTATTTTTTGAGGATTGGGGACCTAGATGTAATACATACCAGAGTTTGGGACCTCAGCTCGTGCAAGATTTCATGTGTAAATTATTTGTAGGCAACAACAACCATTTCTCTAAGGACAGTTACATTGCCACAATAATTTTATTTTGATATGCCATTTTTTTAATTGTACAAAAAGACTCTAACCTTTAGTTATTGTTAAACTGTATTCTCAAATTATTTTAAATTTTTTATCATCAATCTGTTGTGCAGAAAACATCTTAATAGTCATAATGATGTGATCAAATTAATTTAAAACTACCAAGAGGTTATAACTTAATAAATGTGTAGTTACAAAATTTAGACCAATGCCTCTTTTCCCAGGCCACATAGGCCCGGGATTTCCGGGGGGACACATATGCAAGGGGGTCTGTCGCCCAGAATTTCTAGCAAAACTCCAAAATTTATTGTTTTGAGTTAGTTATCATTAGTGCGAGTGATGAATTAATAATTAAATAATGGATTGGAGCACGAGAGATCCAAGCAATAGACATGGATAAAAGATACATGCATAATTTAAAAAAAAAAAGAAAAGAAAAAAGAAACTAGTACATGTATCTACGTACTGTTATGAATACGCATAATCACTTAAAAATTCCAAATTTGGACTATTATTAATTAAGCAAATGATTATAACCCGGCTTTTGGTTCACTGCAATCTGCTTTTGGAGTAGTTCTGTAGCGAAAATTCCTCTATAAATCTTGATTTCGGGCTCATAAAACAACCAAACGAACACCAGTTTACCTCGACTCGACCCAAGACTTTCGCCTTCACTTTGGACTGTCCAAACTCTCTCAAACCCCACGAAGGAGAAGGGTGGTGGTGTTAGCAATCCACAAAGGTATGGAGAGGAAGAAGAACAGTGGTTGAATCTTACTCACAACCTCACATGGCTTTCCTCTCTCTCGGTTGCCTCTTTTCTCTCAATTCTCTTCTCCATTGCTACAACACACACACACCCCACCAAAAAACGGTTAGAAGATAAGTACATATATATAGGTTAGTTTAGGTCACTCCAATTAGGCCTAGGGTTCACTAAGAGGGCTACCAATAAACCTAAACTAATGGGCCAATATTCAACTCCATATTAATCACTAAATGGTCCAACTAACCTGTTTCGCGCGGGTAGTCGCTAACAATTAAAAAGGGATCAGACGATTGTGTAAGGGACAAACCTCTTGAAACAAAGTCCCAAAAATGAGTGTTTTTATTGGCGATGATTTTACAATGGGAAAATAAAACAAAATGCCTCCAAGAGGCGCAAGCACACGAGTTACTGAAAAGAAGTGTTTAAATCTAAATTAAGAAATTGAAAGTTACATATTCTTTATTTGAGAGTGTTTGATTCGGGTTTTTTTGCTTTATGTCTTTTCTTTCTTTTATACTCCCTGAATGATCTCTTTGTGATCAACCGCTTAAAAACTGCTTGATTGCTCTATACCTGCTCACTTTCTTCATAGTGGCCAACTTGTCATGGAATTGCCTTCTCTAACTGCTGCCATCACTTTTTGTCGTTCAACCGTCTTCAATTGAATTCCTTGAATTGTGGAACGTGATAGGGCTACTCAATAACTGCTTCATTAACCGCACTTTTGGGTAACCATAACATCTTATGTTTGCTAAGATCCTAGGCGACTCAAAAGTTTGGGCGAGAACAGGGTCACAGCTCTGGGCGACTGCATGGCAATCCATTCGCTCAAATCTTGGGCGACTTGCAAGCTTGGACGATGGCATTACCGCATTCATGGGCTTCCCTATTTGGGCCTTTATCCTGAATTGCCTAATTGGGCCGTTCTTTGGGCTATCTGATTTGGGGATCCTCCAATTGGGCTTTATTCCTTGGGCTATTCGATTTGAGCTGAACTTTTTGTGTGTCAACAATTACCCCCTAATATGGCAGAATTAATACCAATTATTAATTTTTGCCATATTCACTTTGTGTTTCCTAGCAACATTCGAAATTCCCAAGAATTTCAATCATTGTTTTCTTCCATAGCCTGAAAAGATGCGACGTTTGCAAACCCTTACAATCCCCAAATACACGTCATTTCATTGCACCACTAAATCACGCCTCATTGTTTCGCGCTTCTCTCTCGCAATATTACTGTTCATCTTCTTGCTTCTCTGCTACGTTTCTTAAGCAAACTTCGACAAACTCTATTTCATTCCTAATGGCTGTTTCACAATCCCAATCTGGTGACTCCTTCAGTTTCGAAGACTTCTAGAAACTCTTCACTCGGTCATATATAACTCCGAACTTCCTTGCACCAGCCAATGTCGAACTCAATGAGTTCTATCTAGGTCCTTCATTTAACAACACCGAGGCCATCGAACAAGCGGCGGTCGGTCAGCTATTCCCTTGTACTCAAGGGCCTCCATTTCTAAACTCTTTGCCGCTGAGGTCGCTTCGCGAAAGAGGTAGTCGCACTTGACCTAAATCTGATGTCGTTTTCCGTAGATGGCATGTTCGCCTTGTGGACCATGGTCCTACTAAGGCAATTTTTGATAGTGCTAGAATTTCTGATTTGTTAGAAACCTCTCTTCAACCCCCTATTTTTGACCCAGCACTTTTTCCAATGGCTTTAAGTTTTTGGTCTTCTGAGTATAATACTTTTGTTTTTCCTCTTGGTCCCATGTCCATTACCTTAAGGGATTTTAGGGCCCTAGTAAATCTGCCACCTTTGGGCGATACCATTTTCCCTGGTATTTTAATTTCTGGTGTAGCCCCAAAATTTGATAGAAAACTCACCGAGTCTTATTCAAGCCTGCAAACTTGTCGTAACCACTCGAGCGCTGAGCTTTTCCATACTGAGTGTGTGGCCTTTCTTCAGATTTGGCTTTGTAAATACATTTTGTGTGTGCCAAGCATGAAGCCCTCTATGAGTTATTTACCCATAGCGCATGAATTGGCCCGTGGTAGGCCTCTGAATTTGTGTTCTTTCTTTTTAGCTGCCCTCTATAGAGGCATGGCTTCTCTTCAATCCCAATTGAAGAATGGTGCATCTCCCACTGGCAGTGGACCTCTTTGGTTCACTCAAATGTGGTTGAGAGCCTATTTTCCATCGCTTGGTGCTCTATCCTTTTCCAGTCCTTTTGCTAGCTGCTATGGGCTAGCCATTGATCCTCTGACTCCTGTAAATATGTCTAGAAGGGACATTTTTTTTCATTCTTTTATACTTTGGATTCAATCCCTTCCTTCTTTCCTTTTCCTCCATTTTTGACTCCAGATTATGTGCAACCTCCATCCACTCTGGATAGTGCGAGTACCTCTCTGTTCATTTGGATTCAGTTTTTGACCAGGAGGGAGTTGTTCCATAATATTTTGACTGGGACCAATGTCAAAGCTGAGGTTGAAATATATGCTCCCCAATTTTTTGCTCGCCAACTTGGTTTTGGCCAAACTAGGCCCGTTCCCCCTTGCTATTCAAGAAATTTGATAGACCACTTCCATACCATTAATAAGGCAGAGGAAGAAGCTATAGATGCTCGCAATATTATTTTGACGAGCAGCTTTTCATTAGCTCCCTTCAATCTTAGCCGTGCTATCCATCCCCTTTTTAAATGACTCTGACCGTCAGTAAAGCGCAGATTGTTTGCGACTGATGCCAATCGTGCTTTCCATTCATTGGACCAGCCAAACATTTCTTCCACCTCTCCTGTTTTGGTCACTCCTGTGTCCATTAGGAGTCCCTCTTCCCCTGCTCGTGCTAAACAGTCTGCTCGTCCATCGACTTCTCTTCCTGCCAAGCCCACTGCAGCTAAAAGTGCCCCAAGCCGCAAACGGCCAGCCTCAGCATCTCCCATTTTGGAGGATGATGCTGATGATGATGATGACACCTCTCTCATCGTCAGGAGGAAGGTAATTAAATTGGTTTACTCACAAGCATACCTTTCCATACTTGAAACTTTTCTATGTGCTGATAGTTTATTTGGATTTCTCAGAAAAGTCCAGCCTCTCCTTTGAAGGCTTCGGTGTTGGCAGCTCCTACTCCATCATCCTCTGCTGAGGCTGCTTCGTCCAAACCAACTGATGAAGGGACTACGCTTAAAGAGAAATCTTCAGTCCCAGAATCTTCATCACAACCAATGGATGAGCCACCTTCTTCCCAGGGCGTTGACCACCCAAACGTCGAAG